GCATACCACACATTACAAAAAACATAGCAATAAAAACAAATTATAAAAAGTGCCAATTGCAGGGGTGGGTGGGGGGCTGTCTTGATATGAATGACACTCACAGATATTTCCATTTAAGGGTAAACTTACACATTAAAGGTACAAAAAAAGAACAACAACCCAAAAACCTGCCAATAAAGTATGGCTATTCCTTAGCTCCTCTTTAAGGTTGCCCTCTGCCACTATTTATACTGATTTTTTACATAGCAATAAGATCAAACAGACAGTAGAAAACACAAAACAGAGGTAGTAGTTTAAAGCCGAAGCTAACAAGAAAATAGATTTCTAAATGCACCAGTGGGAAATAACATCCAGCACTTTCAACACTAACAACCACATTCAAAATGTAAAGCTCCAAAAGTTCGCAAAGTGCAACATTTTTAATTTCCATATTTCACAGAGGGAGTCCATGTGAGAGGTAGAGAAGTGAATCCACACACCTCAATCTCCCTCCCGCCTGCCTCTTCAACAGCTGAGAAATGTGCTCGGAACAAATCTTCAGAGGCAAAAGCCACAGAAAAAAATGGTTAGATAAAGAAAATATGTGAGGCAGCGTGGTGAAATCAGGCTCTCGTCAGTTTTTGGGCATGTAGAGTTATTGGTATCATCTTAAAGCTTTGTCTTTATTTGGATGAAAAAAATATACATTTATCTTGAATACAAGTCGAGATATTTGCGGAGGTAGTAGTTTAACGTTTTTCATACATATCCACACAGAAATAAGTTCTTTTATGGACATGAAAGGTGTTGAGCCAATAAATAAAAATTTGATAAAAATTCACAAACCTGCAGAAAAATGCTAGTTTCTTCACTTTGATTATTTTTGACAAGAGCCTGATTCCACTACGCTGCCTCACATATTAAGATACAGTGGCTAAACATACTTAGATACAGAGGCTATCTCGGAAAACATATTAGTAACATCTTTCTGCAAACAATTTAAAAAAAAGAACTCACCAAAGGTGAATATACAAACACTGTTGAAAGTGCATACCAAAGGCTAAAACCTGCTAGAGCCTTTGAACAAAATGGAAGAAAAGAAATCCTGTTCATTCTCCAGAGTTCTACAACCACACCACAACAATCTAAATCAGTGGTTGCCAGCCTGGGTGATATCATACCCACTTGTGGGTGATTCTGTAATTTTGGTGGGCAATGGGATCACCCGGATAGTGACCGGTACTATTTAAAGCCCCGCTTGGAAATACATGCAGGTGGACGGTACGAAAACTTTATATGTAACCTCTTATAGGTGGCCAAAGTAGGCGTTGGCTGTTGGTCACTAAAAGTTTGGCAAGCACTGGTCTAGATTATTAAGGGGTTGCTTTAACTCTTTAAACCCTGAGATTTTTCCAGCGTTTTCCGGAGTTTTTTCGACAGTCACCTAAGCCTGGTGCACTATGTATCCTTATAACCCCAAAACCTTGCCTCCAACTTCTAAACAGTGAAAACAAACGTGAGGCAACGTGGTGGAATCAGGCTCTCGTCAAAATAATCAAAGTGAAGAAACTTGCTTTTTTCTTTTGGTTTGTGAATTTTTATCAAATTTTTGTTTTTTGGCTCAACACCTTTCATGCCCATTAAAGAACTCATTTCTATTTGGATTGTTCTGAAAAACGTTGATTAAAGGCATAAAAAAAGTAAACTTTCAGTTATTACGGACTCTCAAGGTAAGGAAATAACAAATCTTTGGCAGCCATTTTCTCACTAATTCTAATTTTATATCTGAAAACAGGTGACCCCCACCTCCTTCATTCGCAAATATCTTGACTTGTATTCAAGATAAATGGATATTTTTTTCATCCAAATAAACACAAGTGAACAAGCCTTACGATGATACCAATAACTCTACATGCCCAAAAATTGACAAGAGCCTGATTCCACCACGTTGCCTCAGAAATGCTTAGTAATTACTAAAAAACTTGGATCGGGAATAGCTCCAAAAAACAAGAAGAAACTAGCACTAAATGAAATGTAACAGTTGTCACTAGTGCACGTCCGATGGGGAACAGGGTTATTACCTACGGACGTTCCCTGCGTCTGATGGGGTTTAAAGAGTTAACATTGCCAGTCAAGGCAAACCTGAACAGAGAAGAACACATCACAACTTGGTTCATTATTGGAAATTCAGAATGAAGTAAAAAATTTACATACTGTACAATAGGCAAAGAATGATCTGGGGCTTTCCAGTTCAAAGAGAGTGAACTTAACCTGTAATCTTTGCATCAACAATAAAACCACAATGCAGAGATATACAAATTGTTTCATTTCTGGAAATATTATACAATAAACAGTACAGGCATTGTTAGAGTTTGATGACCGAGAACCCAAAAACAATTTAAACTTGAAATTTGAAAAAAGTAATTTGCACAAAATAAGTACAGTAAATAAACTGTTTTACTGAGAAGTAAGATACACAGACTCATCCTGGTGTATTTTGGGAGGGAAAAAGTCCTGTAAGATAGTTTTGATAAGATTTAACAAACATATCGCTCCCCCCCCCACATCCCTTTTTATTTTAATTAGTAGATTTCCATGGCCGTCTAGAGTAGAACTGAACTTCACGTATTACTTCCTGTATTCCCAGAACAGAAATTATAAGCATATGCAGAAAACGCAAACTATCTGCACAATTCAGAAGAGGCACTGTGTGAATTAAAAAGAGAACTAAAACTGTACAAGAAAGTAAAATCTGGTTTTGAAGGGAAATCACACAAAAGTATATCAAACAACACAAATCCAACATCAAACCAGCACATTAAAATTGCACACAACAAATAGCAACGGACGTATAAAAATTTAATCTAAATGTAGTTTCAAAACATGTACATTTTGATTGTCATAGCATCTGAAATGTGTGAATATGTGAGGCATCGTGGTGAAATCAGGCGCTCGTCAAAATAGTGACATCAAAGAAATCAGCATTTTTTTGGCTGATGAGCAATTTTTAAAAGATTTTCTTTTTTGGGTTCAACATCTTTTTTATCCATTTAAAAACACATTTTTTGGTGGATTTTACAGAAAAACATTGGTTAAAGGAACAAAAAATGTTAATTTTCAGTTTCGAAGGACTCTCAAGCTATGGAAATACCAAACTTTGGTGGCCATTTTCTGAGATTTCTCGCTAATTTTACCTCTGAAACCAGAAGATCCTGACCTCCTTCAATCGCAAATATTTCGATTTGATTTCAACAGTAATGGATATTTTTTTCACCAAGAGGAAGGCAAATGAGCAGGCTTTCAGATGATACCAATTAACCTCATAAGCCGAAAAATTGACGAGTGCCTGATTCCACCACGTCGTGACATAAAAATATGTTTTGAAAGTATATCATCGGCAAGCAGTTCAAGCATGCTAAGCCTAGAGTTTGGAAATTGTTTATTTATTGCAGATTAAGATCTGTGGCACTGGTTGCGTGGCTTCAGAAATATTTTGTCAAAATTCAAATTCTAAACTTTGAAAAAAAAAGCAAGTCAAGATACATAAAGTAGGTACAGTTGTTAAAAGAATAAAAAGGTCTTTTTCTCTCTTCTGAACAATTTTGTAATCTTGGCTCAGGACATTTTAACGGCTTGCCGGCGAATACTTCAGTTGTCTTGGCTTGGAGCGGCCACATAAAAATACAAATCTCAATTCTCGAATAAATACATGACAGTGGAGAAAGATAAAGTAACGGGAATGAGTGGTGAAGAGTCTGGAGGTGAGCGTTTTCTATAAGCACATGATGTGCTTTCTTATCTCACTCTTTATCTCCGCGGGGAGTAAACCTACTATGCCGGAGCCCTTTTTTGGTACTAAATAGACAGTGAAAGATCTTGTCAGTTGGTTAGTGTTAGAGCGCTTAATCAGCTGCTTGTACTGTATGCTTCCTGGGAAGCTGAGAATGTTTCTGAGTGTTCTATGGTCTGCTGGGGTAATAGTAATAATATAGTGTAAAGCGCATAGAGCTTGCTGTCGAGCGGGGTTATGCGCTATACAAATGCTATTTATTTATTAGTATTACTAAATCTAAAAATGACAAAAACCTCACTAGGCTGGTCATTAAATCAAAACAAGTGAACCTATTTTGACAGTTCTTCCTCTGATGAATGCTATCCCGATAAATCAGACCTGTTTTGGGAAATTTCTGAAAAGTAATTTGATGTCGGCGTCGTTGTAAAGGAATGCGCCCGATTCGCTGTCAGGGGTTCATCGGCGCAGGGGTTCCGACCACGAGCCGCTGGGAGCGACTTGCAGGAGATAAAGAGATAATGTCAGTGCACGACTCTGACGTCGTGTCTGACAGTGACAAATTAGGTCAAACGCTTCTTTTGCAAAAAAAAATTTAAAAATTGTAATTCCTTTCTTACTGTCTTAAACACTTTGCCGTCTCATGTCGCCGATCGGTAATGTGTACTACCCAGTTTCTTAGGATTTTTTCCCAAAATACATTTGCCTTTGACGGCAAGAGTTTTTACTATATGAGCCTTGTGGTGGCAAAGTGCTAGAATTACTAAAATTTTGTGTCGAATGTTCTTTTTAATTGTTGCAATAGCTTGAGCAATCGTAATTACTGTTGTTTATAAAAGAGTAACTATTTGAGATGTTAAAAAGTGCTAGACCAAATTTGATGGATGTACATTCATGGCCAGATACCCACAATAATCAACTCCAACATCCTGTAAGGCCAGATACCCACAATACGTAACTGCGACATTCCGTATGTGGTCAGTAAAACAGACTCAATGGAGTTAATCCCCACCCCCCTAAAAAAAACAACAAAACAAACAATTTCTGCCATCTTAACACTTTGCAGTCACTCATATGACCTTAGCAGTTGCGAGCGTCGTAAAACCCCATACTACTACAGCCAGCAGTACAACATACCCAGCCAGGAGAGTGCCTGCGACGGACTTTTCTGACCGCAAAGTGTTCAATATCACAAAGTAAATGTGTCAGGAAACACAAAAAAACAGACAAGGACTTTGTAACAGATTTCATTTCATCCAAGGTATAAACGCATCTCCTCATAATAATTCAATAAAAGCTAAGAAAGACTCAGCTTCCATCAACTCCTGACAGGACTGTCTATTTCTCCTTGAAGGGTCTGCTCAATCTTGTGCCGGTCTTCCACCTTCATGCGTTTGTACTCCGCACGAAACAGCAGCACAATAGCTACTGTGTACAGGACTCCCATGCCGTTTCCAAGCAGGTTGGGGACTGGAAGAAGAGGAAGGAAAAAAAAGAGAATAAAAAAAAACCCCAAATATCATTCAGGAACAAAACAAACTCAGCTTCACTTTCTAAAATTGAGAAATCATCCGGGCTCTTAGTCAGAAGCCACCTCTAACATAGCCTTACAACATTATAAGAGGCATTAAAATCTTTTTCTCTCTCTTTTCCTGTCGTTTATTTTTCTTTTAAAGTCAAAGAGTAATGAAAATAATTTAGATAATTTTTTTCGGAAAATATTAAAGTCCAACCTGCTCAAAATGCCACTTGGTTTCCAAGACAACCATCTGTACAAATGACCACTTCCCATTTCTTACCATGCAATTTTTGAAATGTTCTAATAATACTGTGTAAGATATCCACGTGTCCACGACAACCAACCACTTTCCTCCTCGACAATGAGTAGCCATCTTGGAGAATTCTGACTATTCATAAACATAAGGTGAACACCTATGAACAGTTTGCTCAATACGACTACAGTTTCTGGAGAGTTTTTGGTTTATGAATGAGGCCAGGAATGGTAACTTTCATCAAGAGCAGCGAAATAGTTTTTGATAAACGACAAATAGAGTCCAAATTGTCAAAGATAGCCACCCGTCGGTGGCCTAGTGGTTAGGTTCTCGGACTCGCAACCGTAAGGTCGTGGGTTCGAATCCCGTCAGGGGCTCAACGTTGTGTCCTTGGGAAAGGCACTTTGCACACATTTTTTTTATTTCATCCAGGTGGGAATGGGTACCCGGCTATAGACAGCGAAAGATCTTGTCAGTTGTTATCGATCCAGGTCTTGTCAGTTTGTTAGTGTTTTAGCGCTTAATCAGCTGCTTGCACTGTATGCTTCCTGGGAAGCTGAGAATGTTTCGGAGTGTTCTATGGTCTGCTAGGGTAATAATATAGTGTACAGCGCATAGAGCCTGCTGTTGAGCGGGGATATGCGCTATACAAATGCTATTTATTATTATTATTATTACGAAAAATGATTGTTTTAGGCAGGTCGACATCTCGGACAAAGTCATTATAGCAAAATAAGAATAATTAAAAAACAAAAAAAGCAAAAATTAAATTTAAAAAAAAATAAAAAAATAAAAACACAAGAGGGAAAATGGGAACTGGTTGTTTGTACAGGTGGTGTTCTTAGACAGGTGCTTGTAAGAACAGGTTCGACTGGAAATTAAATCAAATGACACAAATCTAACAGGGTAATAAATGAAAAAAAAAAATACAAACAAAGACACTGTCTTCGAAGGTGTTTTGTTTTTCCGATCCAGCAACCATTTGGGTTCTAGCCCTTTGGTCTGTGGATATGGCAAAGAATTTACAGGTTTTAATAAGATAAGACAAGATAAGATACATCTTTATTGTCCAAACCCTGGCACATTGGTTTGGTATTCCACCACGAGTACACACACACACACACGCGCGCACACACACGACACACACGTACACACATGCACACACATGCACACACAAGTAGGCTTACAATCGTAAGCTAGATACACACTCAATGTTATTTTGATGCATGCTCTAAGGTCGTAAGTACACCTTTGGTCTGTGGATATGGCAAAGAATTTACAGGTTTTAATCAGCTGTGCTTTGTGTTGGAAGGAGTAAAAACATCCACAAAACCAGACTCACTGGTCCAGTCCTGAGGATCGAACTCTCCGTCGCTGGGACAGGCCTGTGGCAATGAGGCTGCATGGGGCGACAGAGGCTGAGCGATGTACTGGGAGATGATCATCAGGACGATGCCTTGCACTTGACTGAGAACAACACAAGACAAGAATTTTTTTTTTTATAATAAAATAAGGAAAAACACTATACGAAATAAAGAGAAAAACGAAAAAAATATTGGATGTAAGAGGAATAAAATAAAATTGTTAAAAAGGGACAGTTTGGAATTTTAAAAAAGTAGAGACAAAATGATACAGCACATTTGACACCAAGATGAATGGTATTACCAGTTCTTGAAGAAGCTTTTGTCACTTTTACAGAGCGGGAAAAACAAAACAAAACAAAAAACATGAAAAAAAACAACCAAACTGACAATACTGACAAACTCTAACATCTAAACTACATGTAGGCCAGGTAAAAGGTCAGAAAACAAAAAAAAAAAGAAAAAAAAAAAGAAAAAAAAATTTCAAAAAAAAAGAAAAGAAGTTTTCAACCCCTATTGACACTATTTAGATCATTTAGGAGGCAGACTGCATCAGCCCTGAGAGGTCAGCAACACATAGTAAAACATACCAATCAAGTGGGATCGTATAGACTAAAGCAAAGTAAGCAACTCACCCGGAGATGAAAATGATACCAGTGCTGGTTGCCTCGGCAACAGGGTAAGTAACCTCAACAGCCAACTCCAGGGCCGTGGGGTACACAGCGAAACCAAACGCCCCAAAGAGAGTGATGCAGATGGCCACAGGGTACTCCAAGTCTCTGTACCGGGCCAGCTGCACAAAAGCAATGCCTGCCAAGTTGCTGAAGACAAAGCCCAGTTTGGTCACTTCGGAGAACTTGCGGGTCTTGTCAGCGATCACGCCGGCGATGACAGCCCCGACAGCTCCTGCTGCGATCATCAGAGCCCCACACAGGCCAGCGAAACTCTGGAGATGTCAGAGGAATTCCTAAATGATCTTAACCTTTCCAGTCCCATGCGCATATATTTTCAGCAGCATACCTCCAACTTTTTTTTTTGCCGACCAAAGAAATGTTTTCCTTTTAGATACAGTGAGTGGTATTTGCAAACTGGGTCTAGTTATAGAAAACTGACCACTGAATCTAGCGCTACTCTGTGTCCCTGTGGATCCAAAACTGTGCCCGGTGAAACACGATCTGACCCTGAGTCACAAATGGGTTAACTCTTTTTATCCGGGCTACGAGTATACTCGTAACGAGGACCAGTCCGGGCTACGAGTATACTCGTAACGAGGACCAATCCGGGCTACGAGTATACTCGTAACGAGGACCAGTCCGGGCTACGAGTATTCTCGGAAGAGCGATACGGTCTCGTCAAAGAAGCTAGTTCTGCTTGTAATTACCAAAATACGCAAATACGGCAATGCTAGCTCTGATGAATATTTTAATTTTCCAATGAACAGTGGTTTCTTTGTTTTTGATGGGTGTAGAAGCTTGAAAGATGTCTCGAAAATGCACATTTACGACCGACGAAGTACTTTTTGAAGTTGCGCTGGGTTGTGAGGGGGAATGATACTAATTTGATGATAGTGACTCTGAAATAAATGCCGTAAATTCCGTTGTGGACGATAAGAAACATGACGTCGACTCATCTAATAGCGATTCAGATCATGGTGAAGGGGTCAGTACTGGAATTCGTGTTCGATGGGTAGGGCTAGATCTAGATCTATAAAATCCAGTGGGACATCGTGGGCGCGGCAATCAGGGTCAAGTTCGAGGGTGGAATACACCTCAAAATCTACATTGTTCTATTGGTGTATAATAGATACATACATTTACAAAAACTACATTCAATTTCTAACATAACTGCCAAATTTCCTTTAAAACCTTAGAGTAAATGTAAAAAATACAACACTTTGAACTGTTCGCACTGACTTCCGACTCATACGGCGCGGCCGCCCCAGGACGGGTACAGAGTCCGTGGCGGTACGGCTAGGATAAAAAGAGTTAATGAGCAAAATATTTAACCACCAAAGAGCAAAGAAATAAAGACGACTTCAGCTAACCACCCACAAATCTTCATCTTTGGCACTTATATGACCTTATTGTATTGTAAACGCTGTAAAGCACTTACTAAAACAAAATCAAATCTTCGTCAATAGAAAGGGTTGAATGCAAATGTGAGGCAGCATGGTGGAATCAGGCTCTCGTCAAAATAATCAAAGTGAAGAAACTTGCATTTTTCTGCAGATTTGTGAATTTTTATTGAAATTTTGTTTTTTGGCTCAACACCTTTCATGCCCATTGAAGAACTCATTTCTGTGTGAATTTTCTGAAAAACGTTAATTACAGGCACAAAAAATGTAAATTTTCAGTTACCAGGGACTCTTAAGCTAAGGAAATAACTAATCTTTGGCGGCCTTTTCTCACTAATTTTACCTCTGAAAACAGGTGACCCCCCACCTTCTTCTTTCGCAAATACCTTGACTTTTATTCAAGTTAAATGGATATTTTTTTCATCCCAATAAAGACAAGTGAACAAGCTTTAAGATGATACCAGTACCTCTACATGCCCAAAAATTGACGAGAGCCTGATTCCACCACGCTGTCTCACAAATGTGTCGCAACGTGATTGAATCAGGCACTCATCAAATTTTGGGCATGTGGGTTTATTGGCATCATCATAAAGCTTGTTCATTTGTGTTGCTTTAGTTGAAAATATTACACATCTATCTAGAATAGGAGTTGAGATATTTGCAATTGAAGGAGATGGTGTTGCTTGGTTTCAGAAGTAAAATTAGCTGAAAATGGCCAACAAAATTTGATGACTACCAAAGCTTGAAAGTCCTTCGAAAGTGCAAATTTTCATCTTTTGTGCCTTTCATCAACGTTTTTCAGTAAAACCCACACATAATTGTCTTTTTAAATGGACATACAGGTGTTGAGACAAAAAAAAGAAAATTCGAAAAAAAATTGCCCAACGTCTATAAAAATGCAGATTTCTTTGATTTGATTTTGACAAGCACCTGATAGTACCACGATGTCTCACAAATAAGTGTTGGTGAGCCACTCACATTGTCGTAGTTCTGAGGACACAGAATCTGCTCCAGGAACGTGGTGTACGCTGAGAAAAGAGCCAAGCCACCGCCCATGCTAAACGCCAACATCCAGAAGGCAAAATTCTTCCGCAGCTTAAAAACAAAACAAGAAGAAAAACAAGACATTTGATAAAATATTGGAATCCTCAAAGACTTATGGATTTACGTTTGATAATTATGCACGCAGCATATCATATCATTGGCCTGCTGCTCAAATAAACTTGCCACAAATTTGTATTTATTTTATTAATATAATTTTTTTTAAAATTGCAGACACTTTACCATGGGAAATAATCTGCATACGTTCCACGAATATTTTGTCCAAAATCGAATTCTAAGTATTAAAAAAAGGAAGAAAACATAAATTAGGTGCAATTGTTAAAGAAAAAGGAAACAGTTGTTTTCTCTCTCCTAAAAGATATTTTTTTTCTTGGGCTTAGAACACTTGAATGACTTGCCAACAACAATATCTGCCACAGCACAGAGTTTCATACAAGAAAAAAAGATTATACGGGTTATTAGAGGGTAACATTTAAAGTCAAAAAAGAAAAAAACAATTATAAGAGGAGGAGGAAAGATAAAGGTTGACAAGTGTTTGATAGAAAAGAAGGAGCAAACCACAACAGAACACCCGTCAACCACCCACTTTCAAGAGCTCAAGAAAACTACAACAGCAGACTACAACAACAGGCGCTAAACTAAAAAGCATACCTTTTTGATTCCAAGGAAAAAAGGCTCCGATTGGGCAGCGGCGCTAGGGCTGGGTGGGGATGGAGGAACAGAGCTACACACGCCGAAAGTGGACAGCAACACGCCGAACAGACTAGCACCAGTGCAAATGTACAGCTGGAAGACAAAAGACCGAATGACTCACGGGGAGTTCAGAGTCACAAACACCATATTCTTCTACTCAATGAACAACACTGATGTGTTGTTGTTGTTGTTAGCGATCCAGTAGCATCTGAGCGTTAACTCTTCTGCATGATGCCATTCGGTTGTTGTTGTTGTTAGCGATCCAGTAGCTTCTGAGCGTTAACTCTTCTGCATGATGCCATTCGGTAATAGCTGCATGTCTGTTCTAATTGTTGTCTTGAGGAGTAGAGGCAGTTAGATGTGTGGGGTAGCTTGGGAAGAAAACATCCCCTTTAATCACTTAGTTTTCTACAGAAGAACAGATGATGTTCCACTGTCTCTGAGGGGTAGTCACACAGTGGGCATCGGTTGAGATGTCGGTTGAGGGGTGCATGCTGTGTTCTAAGTTGGAAGATTATGGATTGATCTCCCCTCAATGAACAACACTGATAGGGGGGTCATTCCAGTACAAATAAAACTGCAGCGGCACACGTAATGCAGAGATAATGACCTGATGTGAACACAATTCTAAGCACAGATAGAGCCTTTCTCATTGTAATATTACTTATTTATTCACTAGTTGACTGATTTATTTTTTCATTCATTTATTAACTTATTTGGTCGCTTTTAAGCACAAAGGGGCTATCCCGAAAAACACTGTTTTGATAATATCAATGGTAAAGTTTTTGCTCCTCGTTCAGTTTCTTTAAAAGACACGGAGGGTTTTCTCTATTATATAACCAAAAACAAACATACACAGCAATGAAACTAAACTTCTCCTATAGGTAGGGCAATGCTCACTTTAGGCGTAGGTTAAGATTTCTGGAAACCCTGAAATCCGGGTTAGCCTTAAAAGAGACCATTTATTGGTACGCTCAACCTTTCTCCAGTGAAAAAAAATTGAAATTAAAAACCAGTTCTATCGTAGATAAAAATTCATTTCAGCGTAGCATGTGTCAGATCAGTTTCATTATTCAGGAAATTGCCCAAAGACCATTTTCATAAGAAACACCATAAAGGTTATAACCCCAGTTGGATCCCTCGTGAAAACCAAATGGGGGTGAAAGGACAAAAAGTACGTTCAAATATCGCGGTAAGCCCCTTTATTCAGCAGAAAATCACTCCAAGCTGTATTTCAGATAAAAATAAAACAGTTTTGTTGCCTCACTTGTGCCTCCATTTAAAATATTCCCCGTTTATCGGGGCCTATCCAGCATAAAGTATTCTGTGTTTGTGTTTGTAAGAATGAGTGCGCATGCATGACTTTGACATAGAGAGAGAGAGAGAGAGAGAGAGAGAGAGAGAGAGAGAGAGAGAGGAGGAGGAGGAGGAGGAGGAGGAGGAGGAGGAGGAAGAACACGAACAAGAACAAGAAGAAGTGACATTCAATTTCGCCCTCACATTCTTCAACTGACGACACGTAAACTTTTTTTCTGACGACATCCTGTCACATACACATGTGGTCACCTGAAAGATCCCTTCAGTCACGATCTGTGATAGTTTTGCACTGTCATCTCCGCAAAGAAATAGTATTACGGCATCGCAAACTCTCGAAATCTGTCCGCCATTTTCTTTGTTTGTTTGCCTGCTGGCTCTCGTCCCTAGCTACTTGTAGCCTACGAGGGAGGGACGATGAACATCGAGACAGTGATGTCATGCGCAGAAGACAAAAATAGCGTTGGAGAGTTTCTAGTTTCTAGTAGAGCTGGGTGAAGAATCCATTCCGGAACCGATTCCCACGATTAATGCTACGGAAGAAAAGTTCCGACTCCTGTTTACGTAAACCAACGGTCACCAGTTACTTTAATCTTTGAAATCTTTATCTTTTTCTTTTAGAATTTACTTTTGGAAAATATAAGCTGGTGCTTTGTTGTGTTCCTAAATCAAGGTTATCCTAAATCCTGAAGATGCTCGCAGCCAACCAGGTAACCACCGGAAGAAATCATATCATTAGAAAGTACGTTGTTGGGTTCGGAATCGACTCCTACGATTCCTTGCTTTTAATAATCGGGAACCTTGCCGCCCAGCACTAGTTTCTGGGCCTAAAATGAGCCCCCTATTATAATTATGTAAGAGGTGTAATTCTAGTGAAATTGAGAATGAATTTCACAGTATTTGCTTTTATTGTTCAAGCTTTTGCTAATCAAAGGAAATGTTCAGTCCTCCCTGCCTAACTCAATCCCAGCGATAAAAATACAATTTTTAACCCATGTGAAAATGTGTATGTACAACGTTTTACTATTGTTCTTTGGAAACCTAATTTAATAACAACACGAGTTCTACACAATTTTAAAATGGTGTTAATATGTCTTGAATTTATGCTGTTTTTACAGAAGTATTTTCTGTAAAATAATATGTTTGTTTTATGTTATGTGTGCCAATGGTCTTAAACACCCCAAAAAAATAGATTGCATTTATATAGCGCTCTATCCTATACCAGTATCAGCTCTGAACGCTTTACACTAATCACACAATCATTCACACAGGAAAAAATATCCCACAGAAACAAGAAAAACCAGTTCAACCACATGAAGAAGAACTTTCACAAACATACATTAAAACTATATACACGAAAGGACAGTTTAAAAAAAAAGAACACTTAACCATCTACCAACCTACCTACCTACCTCCCCACTAGAGTGAGTCTTTACGTAGACGTGGAAATGATATTAGGCTATACCTCACGCTGTCACAGAAAAACCCATGCCTGGAGGGTGGGGGCTCTCGTGGCCTACAGGTTAAGGTGTTCGCTTCTCATTCAAAGGTCCTGGGTTCGAATCCGGGTAGCGACCGAATAATTTTCTTCTCTAAAATTGTCTCCTTTCACCTCCTTTCTTGCTCTCTAGCAATGTTCTGTCGTCTGCTTTCGTCTCCACGTACTTTCTACCCCCTCCCCCTCACTCCTTTGCCCCCCTCCTCGGGGCTTCTGACTCTTTCTGCAGACTTTCTGCTGCTTCTCCATAGCTCCTTTTTACTGCTTTCTTTTAGCCACACACCTGATCTTCAGGAAGGAAAGATGTATACCTAGCCTTCTCGGACAAGAGCGAAAAATCTCGAAGGGCCCGTGTGCAAGTTACGCGCGTTTAAGTTAAATTTGGTGGTCTAAAATCGATAAGAGTAGACTTCGGCCGTCACCCGGGCAAAATTCAAAATTTCCTACCTACTGAAAATGTTAGGTGTGTCTCGCGCGCTCAAATTAAATTATGCAGTTGCGAGCGCCGTAAAACACTTACCTATAAAAAAAAGAGTGAGCATTTACGTAGACATGGAAATAATATTAGGCTATACCTCACGCTGTCACAGAAAAAACCCATACCTGGAGGGTGATGAAGTTCACCTGCGGTGTCAGTTTGTGAGCGGCAAAGACAGGGTAGGTGAGGGGGAAAGTGCTTATTCTACTGGCCACTTAAGGGTGAAAAGGAACTTATTATTGCTTTATTATGTCAAATAAAGGGTAATGCACATATGTTTGTGTTTGTGTGTGTTTGTGTGTGTGTATGTGTGTGAGTGAATGTGTGTGTGTGTATGTGTGTGTGTTCGAGTGTGTGTGTGTTTCTACATGTGTGAGTGTGTGTAAATGTGTGTGTTTGTGTGTGTGTGTGTGTGTGTATGTGTGTGTGTGTGTGTGTGTGTGTGTGTGTGTGTGTTTGGGTGTGTTTACTCAAGTTTTAGCGGTTGTTGTATGTTTGTGTGTGTTTTTGTGTTTGTGTTTGTGTGTGTGTGTTTGTGTGTGTTTGTTTGTGTGTG